TTTTAAAATTATTTTAAGTGCTAGAAAATAAAAATTAAAAATTACTAATTTGAAGGACAAAATTTAAAACTACCTCAAAATAGGTATGCACGTGAATGATCCGTTGAAGCACTTTTTCAGAATTGAAATTCAACTCCAAATTGAATTTAAGGAAAAGGCTTAAATATGACATCATATTTTTAAAAAAAAATTCATATATATTATCGGTTAAAAATCTGGCTCATCTATGCTATTTTTGTTTGAGAAAGGACTTATCCATGCCATTATTTGTTGACTCATAGATCAGCCAAACTTTTAATAAGCGACATAGATGAGCCATTTCTCAAAGTTCGATACCATATTTAAACTTTTTTCTTTTTTTTTTTAGTAAAAAACACTTAATTAACGACATGACATGATCTTAATTGACCATGTGTAAAAAAATAATTTTGCAAAATCAGAACTGTTTTGAGTTAACAAATAATGACACGAATAAACATTTTCCCAACAAAAAATGACATAAATGAGTTTTTCCCCAAAATTCGATAGCATATTTGAGTCTTTTAAATTTATAAGCAAATACTGATCGTGAAATTAAATAAGAAACTATTTTAAATTATTTTTTCTTCTCAAATTCGAGTAGGCGTATAAAATTGCTTTACCACGAAACACTTTGAAAGAAATTTTCCTATTAAAAATCTAATTTTAATATAAATATCGAACATCAGACAAAATAGTGATCCTAGCCATTTAATCAATTTGACCCAAAAAATAAACTTGGTTTTCTCAACCAATATACTATTACAATATTACCCCTAAAACATGACTAAATCCAAATTTTATTGCCAAAAAAATTAAATTGTTTTTTTAGTATATAGTATTAATATAATCAAGAATGAATTAATTACCAAGTCAAAGAAACAAAATGAGATTCAGTTTCACCTTCCTTAACAATCTTACACATAAGCATATAAACTCTCTCCACTCTTTCTTCTTTGTCCTGTAACGCCTCCTCTTTCTCCTCCTAAATTTCTCTCTTTTTCCCCCAAATTCCCATTTCATTGATCCAAAAGAATTGTGGGTGTTTCTTGATTTTTCTTGATTTTGAGTTGAAAAAATGGGAAAAGGTGGAAACTTGAGTGAAGGGGTTGTGAAAAAAATCTTGCTTTCATACACTTATGTTGCAATTTGGATCTTCCTTTCTTTTACTGTGATTGTGTACAACAAGTATATCTTGGATCGTAAGTTGTACAATTGGCCTTACCCAATTTCACTAACAATCATTCATATGGCTTTTTGTTCTTCATTGGCTTATCTTCTTGTTCGTGTGTTTAAAGTTGTTGAGCCTGTGACAATGACAATGGATCTTTATTGCAAATCTGTGGTACCCATTGGTTTGCTTTATGCATTTTCACTATGGTTATCGAATTCTGCTTATATTTATCTGTCTGTCTCTTTTATTCAAATGCTTAAAGCTTTGATGCCTGTTGCTGTGTATTCAATTGGGGTTATGTTTAAGAAAGATACATTTAAATCTGATACAATGGGGAATATGGTGTCGATTTCGATTGGGGTTGCTATTGCTGCTTATGGAGAAGCTAAATTTGATACATGGGGTGTTATGTTACAGTTAGGTGCTGTAGCTTTTGAGGCTACAAGATTGGTTATGATTCAGATACTGTTGACATCAAAGGGTATTACGTTTAATCCGATAACTTCGTTGTTTTACGTTGCGCCTTGCTGTTTGGTTTTCTTGTTCATTCCATGGATTTTTGTGGAATATCCATTGTTGAAGGATACATCTAGTTTCCATTTTGATTGGGTGATCTTTGGTACTAATTCGTTCTGCGCGTTTGCTCTGAATCTTGCTGTGTTTTTACTTGTGGGGAAGACATCTGCTTTGACTATGAATGTTGCTGGTGTGGTTAAGGATTGGTTGTTGATTGCCTTTTCGTGGTCCGTGATTAAGGATACTGTCACTCCTGTCAATTTGGTTGGATATGGATTGGCTTTCTTAGGTGTGGCGTATTACAACCACGCCAAATTGCAGGCTCTTAAGGCGAATGAAGCACAGAAGAAGGCTTCACAGGCTGCTGATGAGGAGGCTGGAAGATTGTTGGAGGAAAGAGAAGGGGAGAATGGTGCTAAGAAGAATGAGTCTCAGGGTTGAGTTTACTTCGTATTATCCTTAGGTAGGATGACATTGAGAGGTGAAACCTGAAGATCAGACTATAACGTCCTTGTGCGGATGATTTAGGTTCTGTTTTTTAGGTATAAATCGTTTACATTATCTGTTTTGAGGATCTTATAATAGTTTTATTGCTCGTATTACCTTACCAGATCGTGCATGTACTTGAGCATGACTCGAGGCAATTTATGTTTATTTTGACAGAATAGTAATACTAGAAGAGCTTTTACCGATGAAAGTAACTGATGCTCAGCTAAATATGTCTTTGTTTCCCTTGTCTTGGAATACTTTATTTGTCTTTAACTTCATTGCCTTAGGAGTTAAGCAAATGCAGCTGTTGTTTAAAGCTTTCCCTTTGAAGTGTTCAACATGTTAAAAGTATCGATAGACATGTAGCAACCAATGATGTTGGTTATCTTCGACATGTTCAAATAGTTGACCTGAAATTTGGTAAGATCCAGTCTTGTTGATGTAACTATATTGAATAAACCATATTGTTGTGCGATAGATCGATAGATGACATGGTTTTCTTTGGTGTTCTCTTTGAGTCAGAGAAGATATCTATATGGTTGTTTGGTATAGATGACATAATTCATGAGTCCAACATGATGCTTTCTGCAGTCCACTTAGCCGGGCCATCCTTTAGAAAGGATGCTTGGTTACTCTTTCGCGCTGTTTATTTAGCTTGAATACAAGTTAATGCTGCCAATTTTTCCGAGTTTGATCCCTGAGAAATGTTTGTCGAATTTTTCTCCTAAAGTCTGCCTCATTGGTTGATGATGGAGTAGGCTTGAATTTCTGGACTTAGAAGCAACTCTTTCTGGAAAGTCGGTTCTAGTAATGAAGTGATGAGAAATGGCAGTATATGCTTTCCTGAGCAATGTTATTGTGTAGGATATTGGTTGAAGATGGGAGATAAAGGAACTAGAGTTACTAATAAGTCATTGTAAACTACCAACAACAACAATAACAACATACTTGGTGCAATCACACTAGTAGGGTATGAGAAGGGTAGTCATTGTAAACTACCAACAACAACAATAACAACATACTTGGTGCAATCACACAAGTAGGGTATGAGAAGGGTAGGATATTCGCAAACCTTACTCCGACCTTTGCGGGGTTAGATAGATTGTTTCCGATAGACCTTCGGCTCAAAAACACGATTATAAGAAAATAAGACAGCAAAAACAAAATACAAAGCCAATGGAGCAACAAATAGTAATAAACAATGAAGAACAAAGAAACTATATGATTCCTAAATAATATTAGTAATAGGGAGAAACAGAAAGGTTAGCCCCTGCCTCTCCCACATAAAGTGCGACAACACCCGGTTACCTCCTAATCTTCGACCTCCATATCTTACTATCGAGGGTCATGTCCTCACTAAACTAAAGTTGTATGCTCTATCTAATCACCTTCCCCCAATTCTTCTTCGGCCTACACCTGCCCCTCCTAACTTTTATTACAACCACCTTAAACACCTTCTTAATTACTGACATATCCACACACCTCATCTTTACATAATTTGAACCATCTCAATCTCATCTCTCTTATCTTGTCCGCCTCGGAGGTCATTCCCTTCGAGTAAACTACCCTTGAGTCATAATTTGTAGCACTCAAATTTGTGTAAGAAGTAAAAGGTTATGACAACAATGAAAGATGTGAAATTTCCTAAAGTTGAGGCACCTTTGTAATGTTTACTCAAAGGTTGCATTTCATTACTTCAGTCTACAGCCTTGACTAGCAAAAAGTTTGTGGTAGGACTAGGTACAGTTCTCTAAAGTTAGATTATATTAGTTTGTGATTACAGGATATATTATGTTGTGTTTACTGTTTTCATGTCGAATAGTTTGGGATTGAGGCATAATTATAATTATTGTTGTTGCCTCCTCGAGCGTCAACCCCATGGTCATACATACACCTAATCATGTTATTAGTGTTTAAGAAAAGGACATTGGGCTCGCAATTAAGCTAGCTTATGATGTAATAGACAGTAATCCATTCCCTCAACCAATTTGAGTCTGTAACATCCTCTGGCGCACAAGCCTGAATAGTTGGAGGGCGGACTATATAACCTGAGGCCAACATTGGATTAACTCATACGGTGATGAGAACAAGAATATTTGTGACTCTAATACTGAATAGTTGGAGGGCGGACTATATAACCTGGGGCCAACATTGGGTTAACTCATACGGTGATGAGAACAAGAACATCTGTGACTCTGATACCATGTATTCCAACAATATATGCGTTTTTTAATTTGGGTGGTTTTTTTTAATTACACAGATGACTTTTAGAATTTTGTCCTTTAAAAAAATGATCTAACTAATGATGTGACCAAATCATAATTGACCACGTGTAAAAAGTAGTTTTGCATAATTGAAATTAAAAAATAATGGCATGGGTGAACCTTTTCTTAAAGTTCGATGACATATTTGAGTCATTTTCCTTATATTTTTTACACTGTCAATACACAAACTCCCCTTAGTTTTAACAATAAAGACATAATATTTGATGTATAAGTTCAGTGTAGACCACAAAATTTAAATCCTACGAACAAATAGAGCGAGTGAAACTGTTGTAAAGCAAATCTGCCTAAACCCACAAAACTTTTAATCCGCCGTGCTTCGCATGAATTCGTCCTACATAAATTCACCCCGCATAATTTGCTTTAGTTAGTTGACATTATTATTTATTATTATTACAAAAACCTAACACTTGTAGCTTAAAAACTTGACAAAATTTCTCATAGCACAAAGTCAAATCTGACCCGTTGTCATCCCTATGAACAGAATTGTATATTTATGTTGGGAATTAGGTAAAGGACGAGTCCATATTTCATATAATTCTGAACTTATGTGCTAATAAGAGTTAATATATACGATAACATACCAATATTTTTTTTTTGGTTTTTCACCCGGTGTCCGAAGCCCACATTATGAATTCGGATCGCGCACTGTAGGGTCCATTTGGGGGTGGCGCTCCCAACATAATTTTCTCCATACCGAAGGCTCAAACTCGAGACCTGTGGTTAAGGGTAAAACACTCCCACCACTGCATCACAACCCATTAAAATGTACAGTAGATTCATTCAATTGAATTCCTATATAAATTCAATTCCCAAAATTTTGAGCTAAGATTAATAATTTTCGTTGAAAATGGCGAAAGCAAAAGTGACAATGGAGGTTGGGAACGACGGCGTTGCGGTAATTACATTCGTCAATCCGCCGGTGAATGCTCTTGCTATTCAAAGTAAGCTTAAAATTCATCGAAAAGGAATTTTGATTTGTTTTGTTGAAGCGGAATTTTGATTTTGAGTTTTGATTTGGTTGTAGTTTTCGCTGGGTTAAAGGAGAAATGGAATGAGGCAGCTATGAGAAATGATGTCAAAGCTATTGTTCTCACTGGTAAAGCTCTTGATCTTCCTTAATTCTTCTTCTATTTTGGTTTATTTCTTCGTCTTACTGTTTTTTTTTAAAAAATAAATTAAAAAATCTTTGTTTGATCTGTTTGATTTTGGATAGGATTTGGTGCTATCAGTAAATACTGATCGATTTAGGAATTTGGTTAAACTTTCTGAATTGCGATTTGCGGAGCTGATGTTTCGATGAATTTTTTTTGTTATGATTGCTAGTAAGGGTGTCAAATAGGTGGGTTAGGTTGAAATTAGAGATATTAAAAAGGGAAAATTGTATATAATGACAAATTATTAATTCAAATTAAATGCTATAACCACAGTTTGATTTAATTGTGCCCCGTAGCAAACTGTTGCCAATCGCCTCTCTCCCTGAAATTCTTGCTTGCCACTCTCCCTCTCTCGCTCGCCAGTCTCTCCCTCGCCTCTCTCGCTTTATACAAACAAAAATGTATAAATTGCGTTTCTGTTTGTATAAAGCGAGAGAAAATTGTATATATACATATATTTTCGTTCCCCTCTCAAATTGTATATACACATGCAAATACATATATATTCGTCCTATACACTTATAATTATACAATATAAATATTCCCCTGTCCAGTTCTTTTGCCTTTCTCTCTTTCTCGCTTTATACAAACACAAATTATACAAAATACAATGTATAATTTATGTTTGTATAAAGCGAGAGAGAGATATTTGATATACAAACGTTTTATTTCGATTCAATTGTATACAAATTCAAATTTTATGCAGATATATAAACACATAAAATTGAATTAAGAGGTTGCCAACGATTTATACAAACGATAGGCTGACAACAATTTATACAAACGGTCTGCCAGCGAAATTATACAAATCTAAAGAGGAGCCAACGAATTATACAATTTGATGTTCCATAGCAAACATAAAGTTTGCTATGAAGCACAATTATATAAACTATAGCTATAACATACAAATTTGATTTTTATGTTTGTTATATGTAAAAGTTGCTCATATTAAAATGAGTTAAAATAGAAATCGGGTTGGGTCTTGACCCGCCCAACTTTACTTTGGGCTTAAATTGGTTGGGTCCAAATGGGCTAAAAAACGGGTTGGGTTTTGACCTGCCCAATTTGACCCTATTAATCTCAATAATTTTAACAAAGTGAAATTTATTTTTTATAATCATAATTCGAATTTCAGCTCAAGATTTTTTTAAAAAAAAGTAACAAATGGATAGATAAATCCTAAAAGATGTTAAATATATAATAATTCATACCTTTAATATAAGAACATATCTTGTAAAAAGTTTTAAAATGGGTTGAAATTGAAGATTGAATTGGGTTCAATTGAGGATTCTCTTAAAATAGATTAGGCTTGAATGGATTGAGATTGAACTCAATTCAAATTATCTCGAGCCCAACCCTTAAATTCTGGGCGGGTTATCCCTAATTGCTAGTAACTGTTTTTTTTTGTTTATATGAAATTTTTGTTTGATCTTGGATGGAATTTAGTATCAGTAAGTAGTGATTAATTTAGGAGTTTAGTTAAGCTTTCTGAATTGCACTTTGCAGAGCTGATGTATGGATGAATTTCAGTTATGATTGCTATTAACTGTCTTTTTTTTTCCTCAAAAAGAAATTTTTGTTTGAGCTGTTTGATTTTGGATAGAATTTAATATCAGTAAATAGCGATTAATTTAGGAATTTAGTTAAACATTTTGAATTACGAATTGCGAAGCTGATGTTTTGATGAATTTCAGTTACAATTGGTAGTAACTTTTTTTTTTTTTGATAAAAAGATAAATTCTTTATTTGATCTGTTTGATTTTTGTTTGAATTTAGTATCAGTAAATAGTGATTAATTTAGGAATTTAGCTAAACTTTATGGATTACGCATTACGAATTGTGAAGCTGATGTTTCATTGAATTTCAGTTATGATTGCTAGTAACTGTTTTTATTGATAAAAAAAAAAAACTTTGTTTGAGCTGTTTGATTTTGAGTAGAATTTAGTATCAGTAAATAGTAATTAATTTAGGAATTTAGTTAAACAATTGAATTATGAATTGTGAAGCTGATGTTTTGATGAATTTCAATTATGATAAAAAATTCTTTGATTTTGGTTTGAATTTAGTATCAGTAAATAGTGATTAAATTAGGAATTTAGTTAAACTTTATGAATCACGCATTATGCATTATTGTGAAGCTGATGTTTCATTGAATTTCAGTTATGATTGTTAGTAAAATGAAATCTACTTTTGTATTTGATGAAATTTCCTACTTTTCTGTACCTTATTGCATGGGTTCAAATTGCATGGGCGTTGATGATTATTCATATAGTCGACTCAAACAATCTGGTCGTATTTGATTGATATTGATTAATAATATAAGGAAAGAAACTCTTTCAAACTGGCAAAACAATATCCAAAGGAATAGATATCACTAAAACTAGTTTTATCAAAATATTGCTTTTATCTGACTTCATAAATATATTAACAGTGGCGGAGCCACCTTACAATGAGGGGGTCATCCGACCCCCCTTCGGCGGAAAATTATATGATTTATACATGGTTAAAATAATTTTTTAGGTATATATAGTAGATGTCGACCCCCCTTCGGCTACTTCGTGTGTCTATCTTTTTAGATTTTGAACCCACTTACTGAAAATCCTGGCTCCGCCACTGAATATATAGAATGCAATTTGGTCCTTAAGAAATAATGTAGCTTATTGTTTGTTGTGTTAATGTAAGTGATGTAACAATATCTAAAATTATTAGAATTCTCTTCGAAAAGTGATCTGTATTTCTATTATTCTCTCCAGATAGATACTCGTCTCAAAAGAAAAAGAATTCAAAGCATGATTAATAGAAAATAAGAAGGAAAAAATCATTGGAATATGAAACAAATGAGCAACAGATAGTAATAAATTCTGAAGGACAAAGAAAATATGTGATTCCTAAATAATATTACTAATAAGGAGAAACTGAGAGGAGGTTAGCCCCCTGCCTTCTCACACATGAAGAGTGACAACACCTGATCATATCCTCAGTAAGTTGAAGTTGTACTATGTCTTAATAGTCACTTTTTTATTGACACATCCACGCACCTCCTTTTCATAAGGTCCTAACTGTTTAGTCTCGCGTCTCTCATCTTGTCTGGCATGGAAGTCACTCCCATCTCGTAAACTACAATAAGTCTTTATTTATAGCATGCAATTTTGTGCAAAAATTGAGAAGATTATAACCGCAATGAAAGATGTGAAATTTCACTAAAATTGAGGCATTTTTTTTTAATGTTTACTCAATGCTTGCATTTCATTACCGCAGTCTACAGCCATGGCTAGCAGAAAGTTTGTGGTAGGCACAGTTCTCACAAAACAAATTATATTTTAGGTTGTGTTTGTTTTTTTATAGGGAAGAGTTTGGGATTGAGGCATAGTTATAATTATAATTTGTGGTGTGCACACTCTTTATGTCACATCATCATTTAAGGTGTGTTTAGTTCATTTTAAAATAGATTTTTTTTGGGAGGGGGAGGATAATAGGACCCTAGTTAAATTTAGGTGTGTTGTTGAGATTTTTGGTATAGCTCAAGGGATACTTATGCCTTATTACAATAATTTATATAAAAGTGTTTGACTATGTGTGGAGTTTAAGAAATTAAAAAAAACTTTTAAAATTCATGGTCTAAAATAAGTCATATATATGTGTTGGGTGTAAATAATCTCACAAATAGATTCACATACACCTTGTATATGAGTCATGTTATAATGTTGAATAACAAGCCTTTAAAGGTTAAATTGATAGTTTGAAGTTAAATTATTACTTAATATATTAACGGAATAAGGCCTAAAATACCATCGACTATTGGAAATAGTGTAAAACTACCCTCCATCCACCTATTGACTCTCAAAATACCCTTGTCATCCACCAATTGGCTCCCAAATACCTCCGTCATCCACATTTAGGTCCAATATTGATAACTTTTATAGCGAATTGTAATTTAAATAATTCAATTAATTTTTTTTTAAATACGTGCTGAGTGGTGTCCATCTATTGTTTACAATTTAATTACTTAAATTAATTTACAAACCCACCCATTTTTAATTATACCCAACCCAAATTAACTACACTCGACACAAATTAACTACACCAGATTCAAATTAACTATACCCACCCTAAATTACATTTACCCGCTGGTTAAAACAAATACACATTTCATTCCCAACATTTCACTTCCTCTTCCAACCTCTTTCCTAAATATATTAGCCTACAATATGGAAAAACACTACCTAAATACACTCATATATCACCTTCGCTAAACATTCATCTGATTGATAGTGCCTTACTAAAACAAGCATAACTTTTTACTCCGAACTCGAAATGGAGAAAACTTAATGGCCTTGGAAAAAGGACCTAAAGACCTTTAATTTAATAGGTTATGTGCTATCTAATTCATTATATGCTGAGAGATATGATTGTCTGAAGTTGACCCAAAACTTAAAAGTTGATAGGTGACTTGTATGGACCCCTAAACGGACCGTACAAGCCACCACGTGCCGTCTAGGGTCCCGTTCAGGTGACCCCCACCTTGGCAGCCTTTGGACGATTGGCCACCTTGCCATAAAAGGGTCGTGGACCCCTAAACGGACCGCTTAGGGTTCTGTGAAGGGTCGATGGTCCATTTTGGTTCGTGGACTTGCTTGTTAGCCTTTTTTAGACCTTCTCAAAGTTCGAGGTATTACATGAACAATTCAAATCTTAAGAGTAGAGTTGCGAGGTATTATAGAATGATTCAGATCTTAGCTTAGAAAATTTCGGAGTGTTACATTCGCGAAGGTGATCTCGAAGGTTAGGCCACCTGGACTTGTCCCTCATGAAAGCGATCAACCTCTCACGATCACAAGGCACACCAGGTACCAAAAAACCAACCAACACAATTACACAATAATCAGCAAAAGGACCCTCATGATTCGTTTAGAGCTTCGTAGACACAAACCACATGTGAAAATCGACTACACTCGACATTCCGAATTTAATGGAACCTTTAAAACACGAATCCGAGGTCTCCTTGATCTGACATCCATGAAAGTCACAAGAAACTAACACTACCTAAAAAGGCTAATTAAACTCGAAACCTCCAAAAAATCAACCAAGACCATACCTAGGCCTAAAATGTCAAAAATAACCTTGTTAGCCGAAGTAGACACGTTAATAATCTCGTCCCCACCTAGGGTTGTTTGTATTTATTAATAACTAGTAATTAGTAATATATATATATATATATATATATTTCTATTATATAGAAACATGAAGAACACGACGACGACCAAAAAAAAAAAAACACATGACGACCACAACATAGTTTGATGGTACATGTGTAGCCAAAGTTGGACATAGGTCTATTTTTGTTATTTAGAACAAAACCAAGGCTATTTTCGTATTTTCCACATGTTCTTTCTTCAATTACTCTGTTTCTCGATGATTCTCCACTTTTCTTCAACTCTCCCTTTCAGTCTCTCCTACTTCGATCTCCAAACCAAATGATTTGATTAGCTTTCAAAATTCAGGAGAAGTTTCTCAAATAGCTTATCAACCATACTTTGAAACACCCACTCGAATTAATCAGCAAAATTTCCATCCCTATATCGAAGATTCAAGTTTTCTTTACTAGGTGGTACATACATTCGACTTGTAAAATCCATTCTCTCTTTTATTACTCTCTGAAGAATGGAATGATCATAGTAGAAAGTAAGAGAAAAAGACAAATAGTTCTGGAAGAATGCTTTACACTCTCTCTTCGAGCTGAATGAGATATGATTCTATCAAGTTATTACTAATATTTTTTAGTGAAAGTCTGCTGCAATTTAAGAGTCTCAGGGATGAAATTTTTTTCCACTTAAAGTTGATATATTCCACCGGTAATGCGCAAAATCTTTGCTCCTTAGTTTTCTGCTTTAGTAAATCTCATTCAAATAATTCTACAACTTTGAAGATGTGTAGGGAGTTTATGGACAAGAAGATCCAGATTTTCTCAAGTATCCAACGCCACTCGCGTTAGAGGTAATTAACTTTGGCTAGACCCCTTTCTGTAATTATTTCTTTGTGTGCATTTTTTTCTGAAATAATAAGATGCTATTTCATAAAGGAGAAGCAATCTTGGATGTCAGATGAAGAATTTAGAAGAAAGATGCTAGCTCGATTAACTTCAGAGCATTCTGTGCTTATTTTTATTTAAGCAACAAAAAATCTGAATTTTGGTTCAACATATTGTTCAACTGCCTCAATTGTTTCATTTGGCCAAGTTTGAGATCTACTGATTTTTATAACGACAAATTTCTGATCTGCATACTACAAGTCCAACAAACTGTTGCAGTTGAACATTACATTTTAAATTAAAGATGTGTATAATGTATCAAAATACTATCTTAATCTTGACGTATTAAACATGTTAGGTAGAATGTTAAAATTAGAGAGTTATCCTAAGTAGAAAGAAAGATACTTTCTCTTTTAATTAGAGCAAAAACAATGACAATAAGACACTAAAAAAATTGAAAAAGAGGACTAACTATTTGTCGTTTTCTTCATTTAGTTTCAGTTAAGCTAGATATTTTTGTTCCATGGTGATTAACATTGTTTTTGTTTCATTGAATTGGAGTTTGTTCCACTATACCTATCTGAAATATGCTCCATAGAAGTACATAGGACCACTCAACATTGGTTTTCAACTATCCACCATAATTGGTATACTTGGAGCCGATGTCTTGAACTATTTCTTTGCCAAGATTCATGGGGAATGAAGATTGAGCTTAGGAGGTACCATGGTACCCGTATTAATCATCACAGTAGGCTCATTGTTCCTCCCCGAGACCCTAAATTCCATGATAGAACGTGGTAACCACAACAAAGGGATTCTATTACATGACTGATCCCCTCTATCTGACATATCTTAAGAAGGGATTCTACTTAGAATGACTCTATTCCGTCGTAGTTAGCCAAACATATTGAGATCCATAAGAACAATTGAGTGATCAAAATCTTGATACTACGGATATAGTTGAGTAAAAACTATGAGGTATTTTGAGGACAACATTAATTTGTGACTGAGATACCGACATTGATGAATCAAACCTAGAGATCTCAAGCTCAAGTCGACGTGGAATTCATGGCCAAAAAATAAGAAATCGAAAAAGCAAGTTGTGTACACAATTAATGTTTGGTTAAAAGTTGTACCTTTACCTTCTATAGTTTTGCAGTCATCTTGAGATGATATAAGACTGTACTTTATTAACTCAATTGACTTCTCCCAAACTCATAAAAAGAAGGAATTTTAGCTTAGAACTAAATCACTATGAAGTTGGACTAATGGAAATAGCATAATTTGAGGGACACAATTGGGATCCATTTAGAATCTGGAAGGGTCAAGCTCAGTTGTTCCCTTTTTGTCTTCTTTGTCTCTTTGCTATTCCATTTTAATCTTTAAAATTCCTTTTTTCTTTAGTCATTATTTATTCTTTTTCCCCGCTTTAGCTTACTACCCGTCTACCACTACTCTATTTCTACTACAATAAATCTTGGTGAAAAAGAACAAAGATCGAAACTTTCTTGAAGATATTATTAACGAATTTGACAAAACTTTTACAAAGACAACCTTTTTAACGATTTTTAGGCTTATATTGAAAGGTAGTTTGATTTGCTTATGTTGTTTTTGTACCCTCTTGGCCAACTATAAAGATTCGCAAACCAAACTTGCTTGTCCTGTTTTTTGAGATGAGAAATCTTTATTACTGCTGAGTAACACCAATTCCAAATGGTTAAGAAAATACTTTTTCTATACCTCTTGAGTTTTGAATATCTGGGACTGGCTCGACCACAATTCATTCCTCTAAAGGTACAATCCTTTCGACTTTGGATCCATCAATGTACTGTTGTTAGACTTGTTAGTGTTAATGACTACTTACATATGATTTTAATTTTTGTCAAGAGTTGTTTTTCTTTCACCAATGACAATATTGTAGTCTGATAGCTGAAGCCTGAAAGTGTGAAGTTAAATTTGTGATTTTAGTGGAAATTGAGTTTTAAGTGTTGTTGATTTACAAGTATAACTCAAAATTTGATTGACTTGTGTTTAGGTTGACGATTTGACACTGCATATTCAGTTATGGATATATCTCATTGAAACGCTTGTGTTGTATATTTTTTTTTTTATAGAAATATCCAATTTTTCTTTGAAGTGGATGAATAAGGTATTTTACAATTCTGTTGGCTTGTCTTTGGCAGCATTTTTATCCTAAAATGCTGGAACTCTGCACTTTTGATTAAAGTGCTTTTGGAAGGTTCAAATTCCAGTGGAGCTAGATCAAAACACTATAGGTATTTTTTCCCCTACTTGCTTAAAGTTGGTGAGTAGAACTACCAGATACTTATGCTGGTTTATTGTCTAGGTTAGTGTAAGGTGGCCCGGACACTGCAATTGGACAACGCTATGAATATTCTTTCATATCTTCTACTCCCCAGACATTCATATTTCTCCCAAGAATAATGTTACGTCAGCTATTGCTTTAATACTTTGATAGACAATAACTTTCCTCCAGGTTGAACTGCTCCAATGGATCTAAAATTTAAATGACAAGCAAAACAGATTTTTCACAAACCACAGGACTAAAATCTAATTGATTTTATAAGCAACGAGCCAGTGTCGGCATCCCTTTTTAAGTTTTCCCCTATTTTCTTGCGCCTTCCCTCAAACTTTAGTCTTCATCGTACTTTGGATCTTTAGTCATTAAAATTATCATGATTAAATTGTCGAATTTAATGGTGGTTGACTTGACGAAAATAAAGGTGCAAGCTAGAGATAGTTCATATGATATATGACATGATAGGATACTTTTTATCAGAAGGTGGGTGATTAGATCTTCAGAAGATAATTACTAAACCAAGTATCATATATTTTATTCCGATGAAACGTGAACATTTTGCCTAGGTATCATGAAAGCGGAGCATCTAAAAGTATTCTTGGTACTATAGTAGGGCTTTAGTATTATAGTATACATACAAAGAGTACATGTTGAACAACAATGAGTTGCGTACACTATTAGTATTTTACCAGGAAGTTATTTGTCCATATTTTTTCATGCTTTTAAGTTGACATTCAATTTTTCCATTTCTTATATTTAACAAAGTCACCCATTCTTAAAAAATAAATGTATAGTGTGTGTTTGTGTTTTGTGAGATTTCATATCGATGAATTGTTGATAATTTCCTATTCTAGAATGAGGTGAGCTAAACGAAGAAACGATCTCCAATACTTCTGTCGTACTTCTTTAGAAAAGAAGAAGATAGAGAAACTAATCACAAGACTGTAGTTGCGTTACATTTGTAAATTTACAATAATATCTATTTAATACATAGATTTCTATTTTTATTTTTATTTTGAAAGTAGCTCATAAATAGATGAGATATGAAAAATTGTCTTTACAACAATAATGTCATGTAAACAGTATGAAGCTCTTATAGATGTAAAGAATGTGTCATTTTGTAACCAAGTGACATCATTAAATTTTGCACAACTTAAAGAACTTTGTTGTTAAATGCATGTAAACAATAAGATTCTAGATTTGTACATTGTGAGAGTTAAATATTGCAAAGATGAAGTGTAAAACACCATGAAGTTTATGAAGTATAGTTGCTTGTGCTAGGTAAAATTTGTTGGGAGCGTGAACATCTTGTCTGTGATACTGGGATTTACTTTTAAAGCAAAAAAGTTACATTCACTTAAGGATATTCTTGCTTTGGGACTATATTACTATTAATTGTTCCCTCGTAAAAGGAGTTGGAATTATTTCCAAACATATGCCCCTGTTCTTATGCAACTCTCTCTACTAGTGATGGTGATGCATCTTGCCTGTGAACTCTATGATTTAATGGTTAGCATGGCCTAATGCATGTTGTGTCGCTAAGACTTACTTTTTCTAATCGTATTGATCAGATTAAAACATAATTATTGTAATTCTAGCATCATACATGATTATCCTATTAATAGCCTTATTTTCATTTTAAGTCCCCAATTTCCAAGATGGTTTGGTTAAGACAAGTCAACCTTTATACCTTAAGATTATGCTTGCATTGGGTATGTCCATACATGATATATGAATTCCTCTTGCTCGATCTCTTATTCTCTGTCATTTTTTTCTGATTTTTGTTTTAAATTTTTCCATGGTGTGTTGTTCTATATATGGTCCACCAGGCACTGGGAGGACCTTGCAAAGGCTGTAGTACTTCATACTACCACAACCTTCATATGGGTAGCTGGTGGTGTTATAATGATAGTAAAATTGTTGAGCACTTATGGAGTTATCATTATTCAGTAATTTACTTATTTTAATTCAAAGTTTTGATGACTTGCAGGTAAAGAAGCATTCAGGAAACAGCTTAATCTTACTTTCAAATCAAATGCCTAATAGTAATAAGTAGTTTATGCCTTGCAATATGACAAAATTTTGTATTATTCTAGAAAAATAGCTGACCCCTTCTCTCCCAAATTAGATCATTACTCGAGTTTATAAAAATGTTTTATTTATCCTTGTGGAATTATGTTATTATTGATGTGTAACTTGAAGTTGATCGGTGTGTATTTGCATTTTGAAGGTGATGTAAAGCTTCTCATACATTGTTTTGTGATGATATTGTGGAGACCAACAATCAAAGCTGGGACCATCGAGTATATTACTCAAAACTAATGAAACATGATTAGAGTGTATATTCAATGTATCGAAGTTTTGGTGGTAACCAAGGGAATAATAATGATAACCATAATAATAATGGTCAGTTGCAGGGGTACGGAGGAGGAGGAGGAGGAGGAGTGATGTTTCCTCAGCCAGTACGAGTAGTGGGGTCATGGGTAAAGGTGGAAAGCGTGACAGACGCGTGGGTGGAAGGGTATGGGCTAGGGCGTACGGATGAGGAGAAACTGATAAACCTGGAGCGGGACTGCTGTCCAGGTTTCATATCAGACGGTTTAAACAGAGTTAGGTGGGCCAACAAGGCCTATAAGGCGATGGTGGGTGCAGGGGCAGGGGAAGTGGTTGTTTGGCTCGTGATGAAAGATGATGTACGGCTTCCGGAGAGCAAATACACGGCGGCAGAATATTCTTCTTTTTGTGTTAGAAGACCACAATATTCTTCTTTTTGGGGTTAATGTTCTCAACGGTGAATTGATTTTGTCGTATCCAGACTAATACCAATCCAAGCCATTTCATGAATAAAATGTGACCAATTAACCAACCAAAAAACCACTTGTTACAAAAAAGATTCACTTGCCGGGTTCGGGTTGTCAGATGCGGGAAGCAGAAAAACTCGTTGATTCTGCCTTGCGATGTGTGGAGAATGGACGGCGGAGGATTTGCATGGAGGTTGGATACAGAAGCAGCTCTGTCCTTGGGGCGATAGGTAATTAAAGTAATATCAACTCCACCTGAAGGGTAAAGAAGTAAATCTATATGCCGAACCACTAATAATACTTGCCACCTTGTGCTTGTCTACGTATAGAGAACATGCACACTTGCATGTGCTTTTATCAGAAGAAAAATTGTGAATATCTTTAAGAGTTTAGAACTGTTCTTTTTTATTTAGGGGTGAGTTTTTATTTTATTTTTCTTGATTTCTTCAAGGTGGGGTTTGGGTGGTGGCGGATTTACTTATGCCTAGTTGCATGTGTGGTTTATGGAGATCGATGATGTAGGTCAAGGTGATCAAACCACGCTAAGTATTTATTTTCTTAACATATCGTTATTATCGTTTTTATTTTGTCATGACCCAAAACAAGTCGTGAGTGGCTCACTGACTTAACCTTCTAGGTGGATGAACTAACAAATTCAACCCCAACTTATATTTTTTGTTCAACTTACGAAATACAAAACATCATGCGGAAGGTCAAATCTTATTAATATAAGAAACACAAATCTACTAAAGTTTATTAAATATCGTTTTTCAAATTTTAAAAGTCATCACATCAAGGACATCTACTCTCAAAACATCAAGTCTAAGAGTATTAACGACACCAGAATAAATATAAAGAATAGTTTATGTCCGGAAACTAAGGACATCATCATGACATGACCGAGAGAATCTAACACGAGCTAGAAAGAATAGCTCACCCTAAAATCTGATGTTCTGGAGATTGGCTAGAGCTGAACTCAAAACATCAAGTCTAATAGTATTAACGACACCAGAATAAATATATAGAATAGTTTATGTCCGGAAACTAAGGACATCATGACATGACCGAGAGAATCTAACACGAGCTAGAAAGAATAGCTCACCTTGAAATCTGATGTTCTAGAGATTGGCTAGAGCTGAACTCAAAACATCAAGTCTAAGAGTATTAACGACACCAGAATAAATATATAGAATAGTTTATGTCTGAAAACTAAGGACATCATGACATGACCGAGAGAATCTAACACGAGCTAGAAGGAATAGCTCACCCTGAAATCTGATGTTCTGGAGACTGGCTAGAGCTGAAGGGGGTTGAAGCTTCGGTACAGTCGCTGCACTCCGCAAGAGAAAACAAAGAGAAACACAAGTAGGGGTGCAGGGCAACATGCATGTACTGAGTAGATATCATCTGTCACGACCCGAGAGCATCCCCAAGTCGTAACATGCGTATTCGACCTCTCGGAGGTCTCATACAAGCCCTTAGCATTCATCACATTAGATATGTAAAATAGTGCGGAATTAAAAACTCTTTAAATAAAATCTCATAAGACTCAAAGGTCACTTTTAAAACATCATTCAAAAGTACACAAGCGGAATACTAAGTCTCTTAGCCATCTTAGACATAAACGTGAAAACATACTAGGGACACGGCCCTTTACAATCAAAAGAAGTCTATTAAGTCTATTACAAGAACCTTATCATAAAACTAGAATAGAAAAGTCTTGTCCTCGACATATGAGGACATACCACAAGATCTTGGAAGAACTTCAAGTTCCAAGTTTACTATAGAACCCGCTTACTTTCCGGAACCTACACTTGTAGAAAAATAGAGAAATATGGAATTAGCACAATTAAGTACTAAGTATGATGACCATG